CAAGGTCCCAGCTCCTCCTGCATTTAAATCCTGTTAGTCCATTTTGTCTGGTTGGTTCATTGTTTCATTGTCCTGCGTGATCTCCTCATTAAAGACTGTTACTCGTTCCAGTTTGTCTGCCTGCCTGCTTCCCTCACCCGCATGTGGATCCTTGTATCTGCCTCACTCATCGGCACGTTGTGACACTGTCCTGGTGGGGAGTTACTTTGTAACACTCAAATGACGGAGAAGTCCAAGACAAAATGTCTCCTTCAATGAGTGTGCTTCACTCCTTCGTGGAGCTGACACAGAAGCATAAGTTAGGCTTTAGAGATATATATAGTATGAAAGATTTCCATGATTGGACTCAATGATTTTTGATCTGCAGACGTGGACAAATTTGTTGGTACCCTTTGGTCAATGAAAGAAAAACCCACAATGGTCACAGAAATGATTAGAATCTGACAAAAGTAATAATAAATAAAAATTTTATAAAATTAAACCTGTGAAAGTCAGGCATTGCTTTTCAACCATGCTTCAACGGAATTATTTAAAAAAAAAAATAAACCCATGGAAAAGGCCTGGACAAAAAGGGGTGGTACCCCTAGAAAAGAATGAAAAGAAAATGACCAAAGGGACATGTGAGTTCAAGGTGTGTCCATCAGTTAATATCACAGGTGTAGGGTTATACTACAAACTAGAATCAGGTTCTGTTTCCTGATGGAGAGACCCCTCTGTTTGCCAGATTGGGATTTCTGGAAGCAGATCAATATCAGAGAGCTTTACACCTGGTATAACAGCACTGTGTTGTGAAATTATGTCAGGCTTGTTAGTCAGTGATGAGTGTTTGCTTTAAATCAGAGCCAAGGAAAACATCAGAATATTTCGATTCTTGTTTATCTGGCAGAAGATCCGCGGAGCATGGAGTGATCACTCGTTTTCTCTGTAGAAAGCTCGTTTTACACTGGATGTCTGTTACTTCCTGACGCAGTTTGGAGAGCTGAGTTATCATCTCAGCCGTCTGCATTTGAAACTGGTTTCTCATCTCTGTGAGCTGAATTTGGGACTGGTTTCTCATCTCTAGGATGAGAGATGTTAATTGCTTAATTTCCTCTGAGCTCATTTTAAAACGATGTACAGCCCTTTAATTTATTATAAAATTAATGGAAGCTGAATTCAGTTGTTAATAACTGAGCTGTGTTACAGGATACATTTTTGTTTTGAACAACATTGATAATACACTAGGAACCTTATTTTGAAAAATAAGCTTATTAGTGAAACAACAAAGAACAGAAAAGAAATGAACTTTATTAAGCCGGGTGTTAAAACCGCCACAAGATGGCAGCATCAATAGGCTAAGGCAGTGGTTCCCAAACTTATTTAGCCGCGTACCCCCTACTATGTCCCGACCATGTTGACGCACCCCCCAGCCCCCACATCAGGGCATGGCTATATATATATATATATATATATATATATATATATATATATATATATATATATATATATAAGTTTAAATTAGTTTCTGGCTACGCTAATGGTGACTTTTGACAGACTTCTCTGAGCTCCGCAGCCATTACACTTTTCACCTCGCGCACCCCCTAGCGGCAGCTCGCGCACCCCTGGGGGTGCGCGCACCACACTTTGGGAATCCCTGGGCTAAGGAAATGTGGTCTGACCACTCTCAAGATGGCGGTTAAATGCGCATGTGCAGTCCATCATCTAGCAGGTAGCACTGTGCTACCGAGTCCATTTCTCACACCGAAGTGTTGAAACGCCGCTAAATCAACTCGAACGAAACAAATTTTTATCCCTTTGTGGGTAGCGGATTTAGGAGACACACTGTGTCAGTCGATTTACAGCCGCGGTTGCAAGGTCCGTTTTTGCTGAATCGAGAGCTAAGCTGTAGCAGCTGCGTGCTAAGCTAGCATGCCTATCAGCAGAATAGACGATTTGATCCAATTCTGTCAGTAGAACTGGCCGGCACGAATAACGAACGTTCGTGAGCATTCGTGTTCTATTCGGCCTAATAGCGTGTGCACTCGTGCACAGTGGCTTTTCCGTTTTAAAACCTATGGGCTATTAGCAGCTCACTGCTAGCCAGGCTAACGGGTGGGTCTCTGTTGATCAGTCAGGAACCGGGGAAGCTAACTTCCGTGGAGATCTTGTCTCCGTTTTACACACAAATTACACAGTGTCACGAATAACTCCAAATCCGAGAAGCTCGGAAAGGTCCGGTTTATTTTCCGCAAAAGGGGCTGTATTTCCAGCCGGTCTGGCTGGCTAGCGGTTAGCTCTGTACTAACGTGAAGAGAGATAAGGAGTTCTCTGACTCGGAGACGCAGTGTCTCAAACAAGGTGACGAATAAACGTACCAACACACAAGCAAACAACACATTTACTTACTTTAGCAATTAGGATGACTTTAACAGTCCCACAGACTTGTGGATTAATCGCTGTGTCAGAACTGCCGGATGTTATGTTGGACTCGGTGTCACCGTAAAAAGCTTCCCTCCCGGAAGTTTCCGGAGGAACAAATTTAAGATGATACCACTCCCGTTTTTAGTAAAATATTGAAAATAAAACACAGAAATAGCGTGTTTTGATCTGAAAAAGAATGGCTCGCCGGGTCATTGAATAAGACTGGGTGGCTCCGACCAATTATGTAGGGTTATACTACATACTAGAATCAACACTGTTTGCTATCAGTTGTTAATTCTGAGAATGACCAAGCAGATAATCTATGAAGCTTACTGTATATCATGTATAAATATCCAGGATACTTATATAATCGATCTAAATTCATGCACCAACCTGTTTGGTCTATTTTTATCCAAAGATTAATGTTTAATTTAAGATGATTAAATTTAATAGCAAAAGTTTATTTTGAATCAGAGGTTAGGAATCTTTGCTTTTTCAATAACCAGAATTAATTATACCTTTCTGTGTTTCATTTCAAAAGAATGAGGCAAGTTTAAAAATGAAGAATTTACTAACAATTTTTAAACTTTACGATTTGAATAACAATTATAAATGACAATTCATGGATGACAATTTAATGACAATTTTTAACAGCTTTGATATTAAACTTGTTTTAAAAGGCAAACCTGTGGCTGGATGAAAGCTAAATTGGAAATACGAGTTTGGATGCGTGAATGGATTTATCAGGTTTCTTTCAGAGAGAGGAACACGTTCTGGGTTGGAAATGATGGTTTCGCAGCTAACTGAGTGGTTTACTTAGAGAACAGCATCAAACACAATCTGTCGAAGTCTACCTCACCCAATCAGAAGACCCCCTTTGGATCCGAAGTGTCCCGGTGGAGATGTTTCCTCCAGGCACGAGGTTGGTAGAAAAACCTCTGGCACGACCAAATCGGTTCTGAGATGTCTCCTTGGGTTACTCGACTGGTGGAACTATTTGCGTCTCCAAGTCAATACGCTGAAGGAGTTTTTTGTCAGCTGTTACAGTTACGTTTATTCAAAGCTTAGCCTATCAGCGTGCCAGAACATCTTGGCAGAGGATCAGGGCGGCCGTTCCCGTCTCCTCAGGATGGTGTTGGTTCACGAACTGACGTGAAAGCTGATGAAAGTTAGTTTTACAAAGTCCTCAGAACACACCCACTCTCAGCAAGAAGTTGGCAGTTATTGTTTACTCTGGATAAACTCGCTGTGTTAGATGGATAAGTGGAGACTGACCTTCTGATTTGCTGAGCACACATTACTGTCATCAACCATAATCATAATTATACCCAAAGCATAATAATTCATTTCAGTAATTAAAATACATTTATACTGAACCAAGTGATTATTTATGATGATTATAATAAACAGTAATAAAGTCAAAGAGTTTATTAATATTATTATTTAATTATTATCGTGAACTTGAAGTGTCCTTCTTCTGGGACGGAACAGCAGCAGATAATGGTGATATGTTCTTCAGACATCATGACTCCTTGGTTAATCTGTGGACTTGAAAGTTACAGTCTGACCCAGCTTGACCTAGCTGGGAAAATGTGACCTATGTCCCAATTAGAGGATCTTCATGATGCTACACAGGTGTCTACAATCTTGCAATCAGTCAGTGGGCCTACAGAGGTCCAGGCAGTCACTGGCCCGTTTTAGAAAACACACCATGCTGGCACATCAGTGTTATACTGCCACCACAGTGTGTCTTATTAATGCGCTGTGGTGGCACGGCGATGCGAACATTTAGCAGAATTCATTCTGCCAAGCTTGGTAGTAATGTTGCCACGACGCCTGAAGATTACTCCTTGGCGCAGCAGAGGGTGAAGTTATGATCATGTGTGGAGTTACTGCCAAGCTCTGGCCAGCTACAAAGTTGAAAATGAAAGTAAACACATTCAGAAAGTTTAACTTTTGTTGACAGAATCAGCTGAGGTGAAAAACCGGAGCGATGCGGAGCAGTGATTGCTTAAAAAGGTTGTGCAACAGAACATTAAGATAGGGTTACCACCATTTTTGTCCAGACCTGTTCAATGAGTTTATTTTTTTAATAATTCTGCTGATGCATGGTTGAAAAGCAATGTCTGACTTCCTTTGGCTAAATGTAATTTATTATTACTTTTGTCAGATGCAAGTTGTTTCTGTGACCATTGTGGGTTTTTCTTTTATTGACCAAAGGGTATCAAAAATTGTGTCCACGTCTGTTTGTGGAATCGACCCCATCCGTTACGCATTCGGTGTGAACGTGGCTTGAGAGCTGACTAACACCAGGAATTACTAACATAGCTGTTGCCAACATTTAGCAGAAAATCCCATGGTCCACAGTCTCCAGAGTTGTCTTTCCTTCAGAAACGTGTCCTTCTGTCACCCATAACTAAAAAGAGAATGTAAGTAAGTTACTCACCATTCCACCTGGCATATTATTATTCTTTCATTTTTGGTATTTACATATTTAGGATTTTAATTTACTGTATTTTATGTTTGTGGAAGAAAGCCTCTAAAGCTCTAACACTCTAATTCCAAAACAGAACAACCAAAGTCCTCACATAACAGTCATATTTGTTTTTATTGGCATATCCATTTATCTAATAAATATCAAAAGGCAAAGGAAAAATAGTTTACAGTACATTCCATTTGCAGCGAAGCGGCGTCAAACCGACAGGATTTCAGAAGAGAAGAGCAGATCTGTTGGACTGGAGTTGTGACCTATTCCTGGCACCAGCAAACAGCACAACCAAAACTGCCTTTAGTTGCATTACTTATAGCCTTTACATGCTGCTAAGTTGTCTTAAGCATTGATACATTCATAGAAATATAAAAGTGTCTTTTTCCCTTTATTGTGCTTTTATGGGAATATTGCCTTCACTCTGTGGAAATAGCTGGTAACCCTGGGTGATCATCAGGGAGAAAGAGCTTCCAATGTGGATGATGCACCAATGAAGTATTGGTAACATTTGCTCCAGGCCACTTTACAACAGGGGCCTTGTGCTTAAAATAACCAATGTTCAAAGAGAGCTCAATTCAGATAAATATGCACCAGTAAATGTCACGTTCAGCCATTAAAATATCAAACTGTGTTTCCTTTAAATAGATAGGTAAATGGCAAGCTGGAACTCCGTAGGGTCACATGCAGCATGTTAATGTGTGTCTACAGGCACCACTGAAAAGGCTCGGAAAAGGCATGCACAGAGAAAGAGGAGGGAGAGGCGTATGGACAGAAACACCCGAGAAGAGAAAAGTCCCTGTGCTCAGTGTGATGGACGACAGCAGGGGTTGTGTGCCAATGGCGTAACACCCTCCCCCTGCCACCACCTCCGTTGACAGGTTCCTCCATTCTTCACCTCCCCCCCTTCCCCACGGGCCAAATGTAAAGAGCACAGCCCATCCCATCTCTAACTTCATCCACATGCAAAGTTCTAGAAAATCCAACATGTCCGTTTGGGCTGGGTGGACATGGACAGAAGGGTTAACTGGCACAAGCAATAGGTTGGAGGAAAAAAAGGAGAGCACGACTCTCTTCTTTAAAGCATCTGTCATGTCCTCCAACATGGTAGAGTTCTGTTCTGGTATGGAGCTTGAAGGTGGAGGAGCAAGAGGTTGAAGGTGAACCTCGCCATGTAGCTTCAAAACGGACTTGGACCTCTACATGCCATCTATTAACGCTAAGATTTATGGGGTAAAGCCAAAACCCCCAAACCCCTACTCGTTTTCATGCAACTGGAGCTATACAAGCTTACCATTAAAACAAATGAAAGGTTGCATCCATTTAAATTCCTTCTGGTGATTTTGTGGATTGCAGCTGAATAAGCTGATCTTTAGTTTGGGACCAATCCCAAAAAAATCTTGGAAGATGTCCCGCAGAGTCCAGGAAAGTCCCATTGACAGGCTGCTACAACCCCAGCGTTGGGTTTGGGTAGAGTCCTCCATGGACAGTTTGAGAAGAACATCCAGAGCTTTTATGAAGACCCTCATCATCTCCTCTGTCCTGCAGAAGTGGACTCTGTATCAGCTCCATCTTTGTAATGTGAAAAATCTGGTGAACTGGCAGATGACAAAGGCGTTGTGGGCTCTGAGATGGCAGAGCATGGCTGTATTTGAAGAACTGACGTATCAGCAGCTGGAGTTGACCTGGGGACGGCAGGATACCCTAACAGGAGGTTTTGCGGTCTGTGTGTCAGCGTATCCACATGGCAGATTGTACCAAGCTGCTGAGAGATTGTGAGGGATGGCAACGGCATAGGTGGTTCTGTCCAGATTGAAGCAGTCTTAGAGGGGGAAATAGAATAGGACTGAGGAGGGGTGGGACAGTGCAGGTACGTGTGGTGTGCGGGTGAGACATGGGTTGGACAGATCACTGGTGGTTGTGGGACTGGTGGTACGAGGGCCTCCATGAGTTGGGTCATTCTCTTCATGACTTGTCCAAGGTCAGCCACTTCCCTCCGGAGGATGCTCACCTGCAGACACGAACACAAAATGTCTCAGAGGAAACAGCAGAAATGTGTAACTTTACAGGCCAGTAGATTTTGGGTTCAGGGGCAGACACTTTTACATCCAATGGACTCTTAATATCGCACTTTTGCTCAGGTGTTTGATTAAAGACCAAGTTCACTCGTTTTTCATCACATCTGCAGTGTCCTCAAGTATAAATGAGTGCTCTGTGAGTCAGTCTCTGTGGGAAAATAACTCTGGCGTCCCTGCTCTACAAAGCAGAAATGAGCCAGAGCTGAGCTGAAGATGGCAGAATTTAGTCTTATTTTCTGATACTCTTGACATCTCTCCTCTGATTGGCCAACAGCAACGTGACTCTTCGACTTTTTGTGTCTTTTTACAAGACACACCATAGCAGTAAATCAGAGTAATATTACTGCACCAGTGTGCCTTACAAACACGTCAAGCCGGCATGGCGTTGTGCAGATTTTGCAGCATTCATTCCGCCTCGCCTGATGGTAATATTGCGGTAATTATAAGCGGCGATTGCTCTTTGGCACAACATGAGGGAGGTGTCATGTCTCCGGCCGGCAACTATATTCAAAATGAAAGTAAACACGAGCCGTAGGTTTTGCTTTTTGGACAAAATCAGCTGAAATGGCAAACTGGAGCAATGCAGCGTTCCATTAGAGCTGAAGGTCAGATCAGAGACTGCACGTGGACTGAGGAGGACAGAGACCTTTAAGAGTGCCTTGTTAAAAACACAATGAGCGCTGCTTTGATCGCAATCAAAAGCAAGTTATGTCCCAGATAAATGGAAGTACGCAGCAGCGCATACCCCTTTCATGCTGCCATCGTGTAATCTTGTGCAAAAAGGACACGATTGCGCCACATTACCGCCACGGTCTGACCACTTTTAAATGACCTAAAGCTCCCAGAAGGTCACGGCGTTGTAGCAGATCAAAGGCTGCAACGTTAATGTTTTATCTCCACAAATAACAAAAGCTTGAAGGAGTTCTGCCATGCTGTAGAGTTGCTGATGCTAACGGTTAGCTTCTACTAGCAACGACGTGCTCTGCTTTCTCCTGGATGCTAACTAAACATTAGCTTTCCCTGTCATGTGCCAAGATGAAAGCTAATTTTCACTGTCATGTAGATCTGGCTTTTCTAATCCAAGAGTTTCCCCATATGTTTTCTATTGGCTGCTAATGCAGGAAATAGGGAAGACAATTTTCATGTTCAGCCTGCATATTAAACTGAGAGTGACCAATCATATTTCAAAAATAACAAGTAAAAAATGGTTTCTCTGTGAATTTGCTCTTTAAGGTCCTGATCAAGACAGTAGTGGACTGGTACAGCAACACTTAGCTCCCAGCTTAGCAGCTGCCTTTTGAAAGCTGTGCTTTATTATGCAGCCAACTCTTTGCTGGGCAGGGGGAATTCATTGTTTAGTTAGAAGCTAAAGATGATTCAAGGAGATCAACAACCAATGAAAATGTTGTGCATGCTATATTAAAGATTTCTCCACAGCTTAATCAAACAAAGCTGGACTGCAACAAAATTGGAAAAGCTTCCGGGCAAGGAGGCTGTTTCGGTGTCAGCAAAGAGTTTCCGCATCCTTGAGTTCTTCTCCTGAACTTTCACCAATCTTCTTCAACACTATATTCCAACAAAAATGATCCCACATTCGCCCATGATTCCATCATGATCAAAAGCTCAAGGGTCCTTAATGCAAACACAGCAGTATGCTGCAGTGGGGTCGTGGCTTAGCCATGAGGCCAGTGAGACCAGTGCTACTTTAATTGCTTCACAGCTACACCTTAACCTAGCAAACATGCCTCTTTGGGCCCCCATGTGGGGCATCTTCTGGCAAAAATTTGGCCCATTAAGGGTTGCCCACTCTGGGATCCAGAGCCATCGGGCACATATGGGTCCCATCATTTGGGATCATGTAGGGGCCCAACAGGGCTTGGCCCAAATATGTGGGGTGTCCCGTGTGGCCCCTCTTTAACCCATCACTGTGGGGCCCTCATGCTGCTGTAGGACCCTCACGTGCCCTGCATTTCATGGCGGAACCCTGACCTGCGCATGTGGGCTTCCTGCTATAGCCCCACTGTGGCCCACTGCTGTGGATTCCCCATATGGACTGACATGGGGGCATTGTGGGTATTGTTTTGGGCACACACCACTGTGGGATGCCCATAGATATATATCACAATGAGGGGTTGAATTGGGCAAAACCCTGAATTCCCCAACTGGGCTGACATTCACGGGGCCACTGTGGGTAGCTGACAAACCACAAAGACTACTTTGGAAGACTTGTAGTCTTAAGAAAGCCCTGAGGACTTTTCCAGGACCCCCCTCAACAACCATCCATATTCTGAATAAACTTTTACATTATTTATAAAGACGTCTATATGGCCGCACGTTCAATTCGTCTTCAGTTTGATGAATTAAACCAAATTTCTCCAGGCTTGTTATTTATATCTGACGCAAGATGCCAAGTATTTAACTTCTATATTGATGAAATAAAGTCAGTTTTAAACCTTTTTGTGTGAAAACCTCTGACTCCCATCTGCTGTTAGCAAGTACAATCAAGCTGCTATAATTGAGCATTACAGTAAAGATGGCTGGTGATTAGCAGCTCTCTGCACGTGGCATGTCCACTGAGGGCACAACCATGGAGTCTTGCCAATGCACCATCTGTTTCTGCCAGTCGGCACGCTCAGGACCATTCATCTGGCCAGTGATGCTCATCATTGCAACTGGATGCACATCTACCCTGAGCAGGGCAGATGGCACCACGTGGGAAGTGCTCCAATCGCTGTGTGAATATGTCAAGAGGTGATCGGGCTGAGAACAGTACAATGTAGAGATTAAACTAAACACTGGAATCAACTCTGTTGCTATTCAGTTGGAGATTCCGAAAAATGACCAATCACATTAACCTATGAAGCTTATATCATACATAAATATCCCGGATACTTATGTATGATCTAAGTTCATACACCAACCTGTTTGGTCTAATTTTAATCCAATGATTAATGTTTAATTTAGATGATTAAATTTATAGCAAAAGTTATTTTGAATCAGAAGCTAGGATCTTTGCTTTACAATAACCAGAAATATTATACCTTTTCTGTGTTTTGTTTCAATAATGAGGCAAGTTTAAAAATGAAGAAATTTTATTACTAACAATTTTAAACTTAAAGATTTGAAATGACAATTATAAAACGACAATTCATGGATGACAATTTAATGACAATTTTTAACAGCTTTGATATTAAACTTGTTTTAAAAGCAAACCTGTGGCTGGATGGAAACTAAATTGAGAATACGAGTTTGGATGCGTGGATGGAATTATTAGGTTTCTTTCACAGAGAGCAGAAGCGTTCTGGATGGAACTGATGTTTTGCGGCTAACTGAGTTGTTTAGAGAGAAAACAGCATCAAACGTGTTCCCGTGTTCTACCTCACCCAAACAGGACCCTCTTGTGGATCCGGAGATCAGGAGGATGTGTTCATCCAAGATGACACTCGGTCCGGCAGGGGAGACGTGAGTGTCCGATCATCTGGTCCAGAGATGTCCCGGGTACACAGTTGTCAAGCGTTTGGCAGATGGATGTTCTCGTCTTAACTTAACTTCGAAAATCAACGACTCTGGGTATAGTCTTCGTTAGCTGGTTACAGTTGCGTTTCTTCGTAGCTATTCTGGTCAGCGTGACTAGAACAGCAGGTGGAGGTTTTAGGGATGGCCGTTCCCTTTCCCCCGTGGTGTTGGTTCAAGAACTCACTTGAAGCTGGTGATGGTTACAGTTTTACCAAGCTCTCAGGACACTCCCACTCTCTCCCCAAGAAAGCTCTGATCATGCGTCAAAAACACCTGTTGTAGTTATCGTTTATCTGGACTCTGTGTTAGCTGGATAAGGTGAACTGACCTTCTTTGCTGAACACATCTTTTACTGTCATCAACCATAATCATAATAATTATTATTATTATCCCAAAGCATAATAATTCATTTCATGTAATTAAAATACCATTATACTGAACCATGTGATCATTTATGATGATTATATTAAGCAGTAGTAAAATGAATGAGTTTTATTAATTATTATTATTATCTAATTATTATCATCGTGACTTGAAGTGTCCTCCTCCTGGGATGGAGCAGCAGCAGATATGGATATGATCTTGAGCAGACATCGTGGCTCCTTGGGTTAATCTGTGGATTTAAAAGTACTGTTTGACCCAGCTTGACCCAGCTGGGTAAATGTGCCCTTTGCCACCAATCAGAGGACCTTCAGTGACGCTACAACAATAATGTGATTGCAACCAACCAAAACTTTCCCTTTCCCTTTCATTTATATGGACATGCATTGCAGTTACATAAAAAAATTTTTAAAGTACAAAGTCATCTTTTACTGGTTTTTACGAAGCTTGCAGGTAGACAGTTGCCTCACTTTTCATTGCAAAAAACCTTTTTGTTCTTTTTCTCTTCGCAGTCTCTTGGTAAAAGCCTGGGTCTAAAGAACGACTATGTTAAAAATAGAAAAGCTGAGAGAGGCAGGACAGTCCAATCTGACACGCTGTCAACATGATTCTTGGACTCCCACGTTCGTGCTCAGAGAAACAGCTGCAGACCAAATGCATCCACAGGTATATGCTGCAAATTTAAACAAGGAAAATTAAACAGCACGATTGACCTTGATGCTAACTTATTGGTGATGGATCTTTGTCCAGATAAGCTGAGATTTAAATCTGCTAAGATGAGTTTTTGCTTATTAATAAAACTGTTGGGCATGTACGTGTGCATCAGCTTGTACGTCAGGCTCTTTTGGTAACTATCAGCACAATGACTGCTAAGAGCGAGCTTTAACTCAGAGGGCAGAAGAGGTTAACAAAAGCAACTAACAAAATTACAAACATCCCTGTTAAATAGGTACTTTTATTTGAAGTGTTCAAACATCTGCAATTTTGTGTCTCCTGGGCAGATTCGTGTGGTTGGATTAGCAACAAAAGACTTGCTATCAGGCAGAGGTGACCCCCTCAGACACAAGGAGGACAATGTGTTTAAGTGTTTAGGCGATGCATCTTCCACACTCTTTTAGCTCTTCTAGATCTTCTAGGTTTCCACACATCAAGAGCAGGAGAAGAGATGGGAAAAAGAGAAGAATTTTTTCTTTGTGGGATTTTCATTTTGGCACTCTTCATCTCTCTTTTGTTCCCTCTCAGTGGGGCTGCCGTCTCATTCAGCGTTACATGCCTGAGCTTAGAAGGAGGAGGGAAACACTCGTCTAAAACTAACTAAAGTCTAATGTCAATTTAACCATCTGCCAATCAAACCGTGGGATGCAGAATGAGTAAGGAGGATGTTTCTAATTCAAAACCTACCAGTAAAGTCTCCACTTTACTTCACACACACACACACACACACACACACACACACACACACACACACACACACACACACACACACACACACACACACACACACACACACACACACACACACACACACACACACACACACACACACACACACACACGCACGCACGCACGCACACACACACACACACACACACGCTCACTAGGAAATATGACTTGCTTTTCTTACTTGCAAGGCTTGCCCTGCCTTTTCTACACAGAGGATGAGTCTGGATACTCAGAGGCAAAGAGCACCATGAGGGGTGGGACTAGCCAGCTCAAATATACTGAAAAAAAAGGCGGAAGTGACAACCGTGTCACGTTTTTTAGCTGTAGTCAAAGATGGCGTCTGGTGACTGTGCAAACATCTTTCTTCAGAAGAAAGGCTTTTAGCGCTTTGTCATGTGTGGAGGCCACAACGAGCAGGCAGTAGTGACCTTTCAATCTGAACTTCATCACAAGTAGCTTAGAGCTAGCACAAGTCAGCAAGAAGTCTCACTTCTTCTCTTTTTCTCGCTCTCATATACAGACCTCTGCTGACCCCTGTTGGCTTAGAACAGAACACACCACGCTTCTTCTTGTGGCAGTTTTAAAGACATGTCCAAATCATTTAGAACGGACGAAAGAGCCTCAGCAAACTTCGTATCAGACGCCATCTCCGTTGTTTATGAAAAACTGAGCGTTGCGGTGTGTGACAAAGGATACCAGCATACCGATGGGCTGTTGGAAAAGGCCGTCCATCCAAATCGCTCCCATCTGATTCACACTGAGTAGTGCTGCTGGGAAAGGGCCACTTGACAAAAAGCAAATTTAGTCTCCAGTTACCCTAACATGCATGTTTTTAGTCTGTGGGAGGAGACCTGAGTATTTGCCACCTGATTATGAACCTGCAACGTCTTTGCTGCATGGCAACAGTGCCAATATCTCTGCAACCCTTTTATAAACAAATAAAGCATAAAACACTTTTAAATAGCTGCAGCATCCCTTTAAACACATCAGTCTTAAATTATTCACTTCCTATTGAAAATTCTTTCTTTTATTCCCTGGAGGAAACTACACTCACACCAAATCCTACCTGCTGGTCGAGGTGTCGCAGTTGTCCCCTGGTCTCCTCGGCTTTGGCTGCTAATTCTGTTGTGCTGATTCGCAGCATATCTGTGACAAATTAACAAATTAGAAACAACTTTAAATACCACAGACGGTGTAAATATAAACCCTGAAGTTGATGCTTGAAGATTGATGATAAGCATTTCAGCCATGACAGAATATTAATCAGCCTCATTAAAACAAGTGATTATCATGTGTTTTATGATGAAAAGACCTGCAGTCGATGGCGAGGCACTGGTTGGTTCACTGACTGGACGACCAAGGTTGGTAGGGAAAGAGAAAGTCTGTGAACTCTCTCTTCCCTCGCTGTCCTCAGTACCGTCCACAATCCTGCAGAGATGCAAACGTGTGTTAAAACCAAAACCTGCACAATCATCTACAGCTGACCCAAATGACATAAGAGGGACTTCAGTGCACATGCTCATATTTGTATTTGCTCTGAGCATCTTTTACATCACAAAGTCCCAAAAAGCTGTTTACATGCATGGCCAGTTCCTGACAATGACCCTGATTGGCTGCAGGTGGTAGTGTTTCTGTGTCAGATTCAAAATACTTCAAAAGATGACCGAGTTGCTCACCCATCATGTGCACTGAGGTCAGCACAGCGGGACGTATTCATCGTTCCACGAGTAAAACGCTCGACTAGAAGAAGTAGGACTTTCTCAATTCTGGCCCCCAAGCTGTGGAATGACCATTCACTGGCAGTCAGACAAGCACCCTCACTGCCAGTTTTTAAGAGTTGGACGAAGACTCGCTTTTATACAGTGGCGTTCGTTCAGCACGTGAATTAGCCATACATTTAGATAATGTAGCTAATTTGTATCCAGCTGTTTTAAACTCATTGTTTCTTGTTTTCTGACGACAATCCGTCAGATTGTTGAACCTCGGATTCAAGAGGAGCAATGTGGTTTTCTTCCTGGCTGTGGAACACTGGATCACCTTACGGGGGTTCTGGAGGGTACGTGGGAGTTTGCCCAAATAGTCTACATGTGTTTTGTGGTTTTGAAGAAGGCATTCGACCGCGTCCCTCGGGGGGTCCTGTGGGGGATATCCGGGAGTATGAGGTACCAGGCCCTCTTATATGGGATGTTAGGTCCCTGTATGACCAATGTCAGAGCTTGGTCTGCATTGCCGGCAGTGAGTCGGGCTCGTTCCCAGTGAGAGTTGGACTCCTCCAAGACTGCCCTTTGTCACCGATTCTGTTCATATGGACAGGATTTCTAGGCGCAGCCAAAGTGTGGAGGGCATCCGTTTTGGTGGTCTGAGGATCAGGTCTCTGCTTTTTGCAGATGATGTGGTCCTGTTGGCTTCATCAGAACACGATCTTCAGTGTTTGCTGGAGCGGTTCACAGACGAGTGTGAAGCAGCTGGGATGAGAATCAGCTCCTCTAAATCCGAGACCATGGTCTTGAGTCGGAAAAGGGTAGAATGGCTTTTCCAGGTCAGGGATGAGGTCCTGCCCCAAGTGGAGGAATTTAAGTATCTCGGGGTCTTGTTCATGAGTGAGAGAAAGCTGGAGCGCAAGATCAATAGATCGATTGATGCTGCGTCTGCAGTGATGCAGGCGTTGTACCGGTCTGTCGTGGTAAAAAGAGAACGGAGCCAGAAGGCAAACTCAATTTACCGGTCGATCTACGTTCCTACCCTCACCTATGGTCATGAGCTTTGGGTAGTGACCAAAAGAACGAGATTGCAGATTCAAGCGGCTAAAATGAGTTTTTTTCCACAGAGTGGCTGAGCTCTCCCTTAGTGATAGGGTGAGAAGCTCAGTCATTCGGGAGGGGCTCGGAGTAGATCCGATGCTTCTCCACGTCGAGAGGAGCCAGTTGAGGTGGCTCGGGCATCTGATTAGGATGCCTCCTGGATGCCTCCCTGGTGAGGTTTTCCGGGCACGTCCAACCGGGTGGAGACATAAAGGAAGACCCAGGACAAGTTGGAGGGACTATGTCTCTCGACTGGCCAGGAAACGCCTGGGATTCCTCCGGAAGTGCTGCCCAAGTGGCTGGGGAGAGGGAAGTCTGGGCCTCTCAACTTAGGCCGCGACATGACTCCGGATAAGTAGAAGGAAATGGATGGATGGATGGATGGATGGATGGATAGATGGATGGATGGATGGTTGGATAGATTGTTGGTATCTTGTTTTATTTTTTTACCAACATTCTTTATTTTAATCTCCTGCTTTTATTTGTTTTTTTGTACATTGTTTTATTTTTGGCCATGGAATGGGTCAGTGATGTTTTAAATATTCTATGCATGTATGGCGCTTTGGTTTGCCTTCAGACAGATGGAAAGTGCTATATAAATAAAGATGATGATGATGATGATGATGATGACGATGATGACGATGACTTTTATCAGACAGGCTACCTCCCCGTCCTAAGTTTAACTAGAACCATCCTTGCAGGGATTCTGTGTGAGTATAGATGAAGTTTAAAATAAATGGTAAATGGTCCACATTTGGGTTCTACGATCCCCTAAGGCGCTTTACAACACAACCAGTCATTCATCTCTTCACACACACATTCACATAATTCCATCCATCCATCCATTTTCTTCCGCTTATCCAGAGTTGGGTTGCGGGGGCAGCAGCCTAAGCTGAGGGGCCCAGACTTCCCTCTCCCTGGCCACTTAGGCCAGCTCTTCCGGGGGAATCCCAAGGCATTCACCAGATAGCCGAGAGACATTGTCCCTCCAGCATGTCCTGGTCTTCGTTTAGGTCTCTACTGGTTGGACATGCCCGTAAAACCTCACGTCAGCGTCTAGGAGGCACCCTAACCAGATGCCCGAGCCACCTAAACTGGCTCCTCTCAATGTGGAGGTGCAGCGAGTCTACTCCGAGCCCCTCCTGGGTGACCAAGCTTCTCACCCTATCTCTTTGCCTTTGTCGGCTCAGCTCTCTCTTCACCACGACAGACCGGTACAACGCCTGCATCCCTGCAGACGCAGCACCAATCCCCCTGTCGAGCGAGCGCTCCATCTTTCCCTCACTTGTCAAAGTGTATTAATTATGTCTCAATACGTTTAAAATTTATAGTTTCACTTTTATTAATGTAGCTGCTAGTAAACTTTCTCATATTAATGCACTTTGTGACTTATTTGAGGTAAACTGGGAGAGGCTCTGAAGTACGAAACAACTCAAACTATTTCAAGAGAACATTTCTCTAAATTTTCTGAACAACATGAGAACGAAACTCTGACTTGTTGACTCCGTCTCTCCTTGGATATTTAATTGTAACAAATGAATACTTATTCTTTATATATGTGTAAACTAAGTGTGACTCTTAATATGAATTCAACAGTTCTGGAGAACACACGGCTCTGAAGGATAATGGTAATCAATATCTCCAATTGTTGTCAGGCAAACTAATCAGTGGTGGTAAGATTCACCTCGGGCTCAAGTTGGAGGGGTCTAGGTTAGTAGGGGTAATGTCTGAGACCCTCCTTTGAGATGGATTGGAGCTGGTCTTCTGGCCTGGTCGGTCAAGAGGAGACTTCCCACCAGCACCCTTGAGGTCCGCTGGCCTGCTCTGATTGCACAAAAGAGACACGCACACAGTCTCATCATGGTCATCGTCCTCTGCGTCTTCCTCGTGTTCCTCGGCGTTGGTGGAGTGGCCCTGAACCACACGTCCATTTCTTCTGACCCCTGACTGTGAATGACGTGACAGTTAATACACAAATAAACTGATTTCTGAAACAAGACACTTTCAGACAAAAGTCAGACAGAATACAATGAATTGTGTCTGAGTCATGTGAAGCAAAATTCTTCTTCAGTGTAAACTTAACATTCTCCATTTTAGGAGCATCCATCCATCCATCCATCCATCCATCCATCCATCCATCCATCCTCGCTTATCTGGGGTCGGTTCGCGGGGGCAGCAGCCTGAACAGGAAGGCTCAGACTTCCCTCTCCCCAACCACTTGTGCCAGCTCCTCCGGGGGAATCCCAAGGCGTTTCCTGGCCAGCCGAGAGATATAGTCCCTTCAGCATGTCCTGGGTCCTCCTTTAGGTCTCCTCCCGGATGGACGTGCCCAGAAAACCTTACCAGGGAGGCAACTCCAACTCTTTCCCCACCAGATAGGTGACATTCCACGTATCGAGAGCCAGCTTCTGTAGCTGAGGATCAGACTGCTAAGCTCCCTGACTTCGACTACACCCCAGCACACAATGCACCAGACCCCTTTGACCCCTCCCATGAGTGGTGAGCCCATTAGGGCTGTGCTCCACCGAGGTTCGTGGGTGAAAGCCTGACCACCAGGCGCTCTTCAATGGTTTAACAGTAATACGATTTCTGAAAAGACGCTGAACTTTTCACCATTGATTCTGGACTGGGATCTGGTGACTGTGGAGATTGTTGAGTCCAGTGAACTCATGACCATGTTCTAGAAAGCAGTTAGACATGATCTGAGGGGATGGAGGGGTCCAAAGTGGGACAAGAACACCAGCAGCAGGATGGATCCATGCTTTTATGTTGGTGACACTAATGACCCAGCAGCTGAAAACCAGACTCATCAGACCAGGAAAGGTGTTTCCAGAGTCCTCTGGTCCAGTTCTAGTCAATGTGCGGTTTCCACCATTGCCATCTTGGCCGTGTCACATCTCGTCACACTCCGAAGATTTAAAAAAAAGGTGCTAAAAGCAAGGCTGTGAGGGTGGGGGCAGGTTATTGACATCCATCAAACTCTAAGATGATTGTAGGAATGAGCTAATTGAGCTAACTGAAACTAACAGGTTGGTGGGCACTTTTAGCCAGAAAACTGCGGTTATGTGACTCTGCTACCCTCTACATTGTAGGCTGTAACTCTTTTAATGCGAGGCAGAGGCTGAGGCCTTCCCTAGAGCTAACAGGAGGCTAGCTGCTAGCGCTGACGACTCATCTGATACCTGCATATCAAATAGACAGGCATGCTCCCTAATTATTTATTATTAATAATAATAACAATAATAATAATAATAATAATATCATAATCATCGAACTTATATAGCGCTTGTTTAGAACACTCAAAGACGCTTTCATACACTCTCACATTCACATACTGCTAGTGATGGTAAGCTACTTTGTAGCCACAGCCGCCCTGGGGCGGTCTGACAGAGGCGAGGCTGCCATTTTGCGCCGTCGGCCCATCTGACCACCACCAACACAGGCAAGTTGGGTGAAGTGTCTTGCCCAAGGACGCAACAGCAGAATACCCCTGGCGGGAGCTGGAATCGAGCCCATGACCCTCCAATCACGAGGCAACCCGCTCTACAAGGCCCATCATCCTAGATAGCTTTGCTCCTGTTTCTTTGCCTGAGTTAACCAAACTAGTTAACTCTATGAAGACCTCTGCATGCCCCCTCCACATCTTACCCTCATCTTTGTTTAAACGTACTTTTCAGTCCATCGGTCCCAGCGTGCTCTCTATATTTAATGCTTCTCTGGTTTCTGGTCAGGTCCCTGCTTACTTTAAGAACGCTGTAATCCACCCGCTTCTTAAAAAACCGAGTCTCGACCCCTCTCTCCATAGCAGCTTCAGACCCATCTCTAAACTTCCGTTCATCTCCAAGATCTTGGAAAAGGTTGTGGCTAAACAACTCACAGCTGCTCTTGATGAACATAACATCTATGATAGCTTCCGGTCAGGTTTTTGTAGAGCTCATTCTACTGAAACAGCTCTTCTTAGTCTCTAATGACCTTCTGACTCACAGTGATGCAGGGGACTGTTCTGTTCTAGTCCTGCTGGACCTGACTGCAGCCTTTGACACTGTTGACCATCACCTGCTACTGGAGAGGCTGAGAGACTGGATAGGCCTATCAGGAACTGCTCTGGAGTGGTTCTCCTCTTATCTTTCTGAGCGCTCCTTTTCTTTGGCCGTCTCTAAGTTTAGGTCTCTTACCCATGGTGTCCCACAAGGTTCTGTGCTGGGGCCTCTGCTCTTCCTCCTCTATCTGCTTCCTCTTCAGCACATCCTGAGCTCCTTCAAAGGAATATCCTACCATCTTTATGCAGATGACATCCAACTGTACATCTCCGTTACATCACAGAAGATGTCTAAGCTGCAGCTATTACACTCCTACTTAGACTATTAAAACCTGGATGGCTCGGAGCTTTCTTCAGCTGAATGAAGATAAGACTGAGATCCTCATCTGTGCCCCAGACAAGCTGGTTCCCAAAGTCAGAGACTCTCTTGGTCAGCTTGCTTCTCACACCAAACCTTCCGTCAGGAATCTTGGCATGACCTTTGACCCAGCTCTCACCCTGCATTCTCATGTCAGTTCTCTTGTTCGCTCTTCCTTCTTCCATCTCAGGAACATTGCTAAGCTGAGTCCCATTCTGTCCCTCTCTGAACTTGAGACAGTTATCCACACCTTCATCTCCTCACGCTTAGACTACTGCAACTCTCTTTTCACGTGTCTGAGCAGAACCTCCCTGAACCGTCTACAGGTGGTTCAGAATGCCTGTGCTCGGCTTCTGACCAAGTCCTCCAAACACACCCACATCATCCCGCTTCTCCTTCAGCTTCATTGGCTGCCAGTCAACTTCAGGGTTCATTTCAAGATCCTGGTTCTGGTCTATAGGGCCTTACATGGACAAGCACCATCTTACATTGGTGATCTTCTTAGTCCCTACACCCCCAGCAGGTCCCTGAGGTCCAGTGATCAAAGCCTACTGGTTGTGCAGCACCAGGCTAAAGACCAAAGGTGACAGATCATCTGCTGCTGTGGCCCCCAGACTCTGGAACTCTCTCCCCCTGAGCCTGAAATCAGTGGACTCAGTGGTCTCCTTTAAAAAACAGCTGAAGACTCACTTGTTCAAGCTGGCTTTTGTATGACCTTCTTCACCACTCTCTCTTTATTCTGCTCTCACCACTTATTCCACCTTCCTCAGGATCCACTGATTTCCCTCTTTCCTATTCACTCTCTCTCTTTCTTAACATTTTTTTTATCACAATTGTCTATTTTTTGCTCATTTAAAATATATTTTTAACCATTTTCTAAATTCTTTTTTATATTTTTACATTTTTGGTTTTTGTGAAGCACCTCGTGATTTTTATCTTCAGAGGCGCTATAGAAATGATATTTTCTTCTTTTTCTTCTTCAACCACCTGAGCTACTGCTGCTCCCTTTAATTACATCTAAGCAGATAAGTTACAAAATATGCACCCCCCTTCAGTTGTCATGACAGTAAACTTGACCTATTAAACCTAAATTTGTTTTCTGACAGCTGTAAACATGTTTATTTGGCATTTTTAAGATGGGAGTCGATGGGAACTTGCTCCTGTCTGGACCCATTTTGTACCCCGTACAGGCCAGCTCTACCGTTGTATCCAACTGGTAAAGCTGTTTTTATTAGTTATTAACAAAGTCTGTGCAATAAGTGCTTTAGAGTTCATCTGAGTTTTGAACAGATATGTTTTTATGGCGTTATGGATGAGTGTTAGCGAATGCAGTAAAGTTATCAGACAAGTGTTTTTTCTCAATTAGTGTGTAAAAAAACCAGGAAAGGCTTTCTCAGTGAACAATCAGTCAGTGAGAGTGCCTGCGGTTTGGTACCTGAGTCTCTACAGCTGCTGTTGACAGCCTGGTCTTGATCTGGAACACAGCCAGGAAAGGAGACAGTAAAAGAAAGGAGCGATCAGCGTGCCATCTTTATTTTCACAGCTTTAAATTACAGAGGAAAATTCCACAGTCCAGTTGTGTAGCTTGGAGCTGAGGAGTGTAATCATGCACTGATCATGGAGCGATAGTAACATTCTCTCTCTCAAATATTGATGGCATTAAGTTGTTTACATAAAACATAAGAATAGTCAGAAGGCAACGTCTGAGCCCTGACAATCATCTGTTCTCAGCTGCTTCCACCTATCGTCATCTAAACTGCACTTAGTCCTGAGATTTGGACTGGCCCTATGCACATTAGCCTCACCTAATGTGTGTGTGTGTGTGTGTGTGTGTGTGCAGACAAGTGCCAGTAGTATTTGTGCATGAGTGAAACATCTGACTGTAATTACAGGTGCTGATCCTCTCCAGGTACCCAGCTATTTTCAACCATATTTCCTCCTCTAAAACACACACACACACACACACACACACACACACACACACACACACACACACACACACACACACACACACACACACACACACACACACACTGTCCCCTTTTTGTTTATTTTGAAGAACCAGTCTCACCCTTCAGCAGTATTTCAAACTAGAACTCAATTCTTGACTTACTAACATTAAATGTCCACAGCGGACATTTTTACTTTTCAGTACGGATTGAATTTTATATTTGATAGTAAAAGGTCTGCACAGTGATAAAATCGAGTACACACATCTTCTTTCAATACTTTTTGCCTCTTGTTATTTTTTGCGTCCTCAAAACGTTTCTATTGCGAACCCCTAAACAATTTTCCTATCCTATAACTCATCTCTCTACACATGAATCTTCTATTATGAGTCATAATTCAGAGAGTCTGGTAAGTGTTTAGTAACTGGCAAGGACGTAATTTTCACTTAAGAAGTGGGGGGGACACGGAGGGGGGGGGGGTATCTTTACAGTATGCTCTAATGGGAAACAGGTTTCAACGCAAACGGTTGTTTTCCGCTTGGTCCTAGAGCTCAACCAGTGTCAATTTAATATAGCGTAATATTGTTTTTGGATGGTAAAAAGTGCAGGGGTCAAAACTTGACTGTGGAAAAGGTGGGGGGGTGGGGTGGGTTGGGGGGGGACGACATGTCCCCCCCCCAAAAAAAATATGTCCATGGTAACTGCTCATTTTGCTCTGGGTAATACATACAGTAGGCTTCATTAAACCTTGTTTCTGTAATGAGAACAAAAACAACTGCCAGGGTTTAAGAAGATTAAGAACAATAAAGGAATGGATCTGTTTGGGTTAAAAACCCACACTACGAACCGCCACACGTTCCCGTGACAAAATCTTTCTTGTGGGTGATTTAATATTTATATTTGTTGTAAGTCCAAACCTATGGTTAAGGACTTTTTATCACTACTGGACTCATTTGACTTTATTCAGCATATTAACCCTCCAACTCATGCTATGGGCCACACCCTTCACCTTGTTTTACCTTGAGGTCTTTAATAATATGTGACGTTGCTTTTCTGATCATTTTTCTATAATGTGAATATTACTGTTAATGTTTCTAATGCTAGTAATCCTGTGCACTGTTCACGTTATCTCAATCCTGATGTTGTACTTGATCTTATAAGCAGATTTTCCAGTCTGGACACACAGTGTGACACACTATTGACGATTGTGTTCTTGCCTTAAATTCATCTTGCAACATGATCCTAGATTAGATTGCTCCTCTTAAGTCACGCGAGAGAAAGGATAAACCTGCTCCCTGGCTTCATGACTCTACACAGCAGTTGTGTCATGAATGTAGGATTGCTGAACGACGATGGAAAAATGACAGATCATCCATGTCCAAAGAGACCTTCCGAGCTTCTCTGGTTAACTTCCAGTCAGCAGTTATCAGAGCGGAGCAAGATTATTTCTCTGGCTTGGTTTCCCCTCTCTCTAATTAATCCTCATGTTTTATTTAAGGTCATTAACTCTGCTATAAATACCCAGGTGGAGGTAGAATCAGCTAAAACTCTAACGAGTGATCTGTTTGTCTCACATTTTATCAGAGGTGTGGACTCGAGTCACATGACTTGGACTCAAGTCAGAATCGTGTCATTATTTTAATAACTTCTGACTACACTTGATGAAATCTATGAAGACTTATGACTTGACTTGGACTTGAACGCCAATGACTTGCGACTTGATTCGACTTGCGTCTGTTGACTTGATGATGACTTGAGCATATTTGATATTTTAGCACAAAAGTGACACGACATGGACAAAAATCATAAATCATTCTTCGTTCTGGGTTTGATCTACTGCTAACTGCAGCAGCACTTTGTTTAGACTCAGTTTCAGTTGCACTTTCTGTTTGTCTGAGTAAATGAATGAAGCTTTAAAGAACGAGGAGTGACGGGGAAAACAATTAAAGAACGAGGAGCGACGGGGGACAGCGATTAAAGAACGAGGAGTGACGGGGAAAACAATTAAAGAACGAGGAGCGACGGGGGAAACGATTAAAGAACGAGGAGTGACGGGGAAAACAATTAAAGAACGAGGAGCGACGGGGGACAGCGATTAAAGAACGAGGAGCGACGGGGAAAACGATTAAAGAACGAGGAGTGACGGGGAAAACAATTAAAGAACGAGGAGCGACGGGGGAAAACGATTAAAGAACGAGGAGCGACGGGGAAAACGATTAAAGAACGAGGAGCGACGGGGGAAAATGATTAAAGAACGAGGAGCGACGGGGGAAAATGATTAAAGAACGAGGAGCGACGGGGGAAAACGATTAAAGAATGAGGAGCAATGGGGAAAATGATTAAAGAACGAGGAGCGACGGGGAAAACGATTAAAGAACGAGGAGCGACAAGGGAAAACGATTAAAGAACGAGGAGCGACGGGGAAAACGATTAAAGAACGAGGAGCGACGAGGAAAACGATTAAAGAACGAGGAGCAACGGGGGAAAACGATTAAAGAACGAGGAGCAACGGGGGGAAACGATTAAAGAACGAGGAGCGACTGGGAACAGCGATTAAAGAACGAGGAGTGATGGGGGAAACGATTGAAGAATGAGGAGTGACGGGGGACAGCGATTAAAGAACGAGGAGCGACGGGGAAAACAATTAAAGAACGAGGAGTGACGGGGAAAACGATTAAAGAACGAGGAGCGACGGGGAAAGCGCTTAAAGAACAAGGAGCGACGGGGAAAGCACTTAAAGAACGAGGAGCGACGGGGGATAGCGATTAAAGAACGGGGAGCGGCGGGGGAAAACGATTAAAGAACGAGGAGCGACGGGGGACAGCGATTAAAGAACGAGGAGCGACGGGGGAAACGATTGAAGAACGAGGAGCGACGGGGGAAACGATTGAAGAACGAGGAGTGACGGGGGACAGCGATTAAAGAACGAGGAGCGACGGGGAAAGCGCTTAAAGAACAAGGAGCGACGGGGAAAGCACTTAAAGAACGAGGAGCGACGGGGGATAGCGATTAAAGAACGGGGAGCGGCGGGGGAAAACGATTAAAGAACGAGGAGCGACGGGGGACAGCGATTAAAGAACGAGGAGCGACGGGGGAAACGATTGAAGAACGAGGAGCGACGGGGGAAACGATTGAAGAACGAGGAGCGACGGGGGAAAACGATTGAAGAACGAGGAGTGACGGGGGACAGCGATTAAAGAACGAGGAGCGACGGGGGAAACGATTGAAGAACGAGGAGCGACGGGGGACAGCGATTAAAGAACGAGGAGCGACGGGGGAAAACGATTGAAGAACGAGGAGCGACGGGGGAAAACGATTAAAGAACGAGGAGCGACGGGGGACAGCGATTAAAGAACAAGGAGCGACGGGGGAAAACGATTAAAGAACGAGGAGCGACGGGGGACAGCGATTAAAGAACAAGGAGCGACGGGGGAAACGATTGAAGAACGAGGAGCGACGGGGGAAACGATTGAAGAACGAGGAGCGACGGGGGACAGCGATTAAAGAACGAGGAGCGACGGGGGAAAACGATTAAAGAACGAGGAGCGACGGGGAAAACGATTAAAGAATGAGGAGCAATGGGGAAAATGATTAAAGAATGAGGAGCGACGGGGGAAAACGATTAAAGAACGAGGAGCGACGGGGAAAACGATTAAAGAACGAGGAGCAACGGGGGAAAACGATTAAAGAACGAGGAGCAACGGGGGAAAACGATTAAAGAACGAGGAGCGACTGGGAACAGCGATTAAAGAACGAGGAGTGATGGGGGAAACGATTAAAGAACGAGGAGTGACGGGGAAAACGATTAAAGAACGAGGAGCGACGGGGAAAGCGCTTAAAGAACAAGGAGCGACGGGGAAAGCACTTAAAGAACGAGGAGCGACGGGGGATAGCGATTAAAGAACGGGGAGCGGCGGGGGAAAACGATTAAAGAACGAGGAGCGACGGGGGACAGCGATTAAAGAACGAGGAGCGACGGGGGAAACGATTGAAGAACGAGGAGCGACGGGGGAAACGATTGAAGAACGAGGAGCGACGGGGGAAAACGATTGAAGAACGAGGAGTGACGGGGGACAGCGATTAAAGAACGAGGAGCGACGGGGGAAACGATTGAAGAACGAGGAGCGACGGGGGACAGCGATTAAAGAACGAGGAGCGACGGGGGAAAACGATTGAAGAACGAGGAGCGACGGGGGAAAACGATTAAAGAACGAGGAGCGACGGGGGACAGCGATTAAAGAACAAGGAGCGACGGGGGAAAACGATTAAAGAACGAGGAGCGACGGGGGACAGCGATTAAAGAACAAGGAGCGACGGGGGAAACGATTGAAGAACGAGGAGCGACGGGGGAAACGATTGAAGAACGAGGAGCGACGGGGGACAGCGATTAAAGAACGAGGAGCGACGGGGGAAAACGATTAAAGAACGAGGAGCGACGGGGAAAACGATTAAAGAATGAGGAGCAATGGGGAAAATGATTAAAGAATGAGGAGCGACGGGGGAAAACGATTAAAGAACGAGGAGCGACGGGGAAAACGATTAAAGAACGAGGAGCGACGGGGGAAAACGATTAAAGAACGAGGAGCGACGGGGAAAACGATTAAAGAACGAGGAGCGACGGGGGAAAACGATTATAGAACGAGGAGCGACGGGGGAAAACGATTAAAGAACGAGGAGCGACGGGGAAAACGATTAAAGAATGAGGAGCAACGGGGGAAAACGATTAAAGAACGAGGAGCGACGGGGGACAGCGATTAAAGAACGAGGAGTGATGGGGGAAACGATTGAAGAATGAGGAGTGACGGGGGACAGCGATTAAAGAACGAGGAGTGATGGGGGAAATGATTGAAGAATGAGGAGTGACGGGGGACAGTGATTAAAGAACGAGGAGCGACGGGGAAAACAATTAAAGAACGAGGAGCGACGGGGAAAGCGCTTAAAGAACGAGGAGCGACGGGGGACAGCGATTAAAGAACGAGGAGTGATGGGGGAAACGATTGAAGAATGAGGAGTGACGGGGGACAGCGATTAAAGAACGAGGAGCGACGGGGAAAACAATTAAAGAACGAGGAGTGACGGGGAAAACGATTAAAGAACGAGGAGCGACGGGGAAAGCGCTTAAAGAACGAGGAGCGACGGGGATAGCGATTAAAGAACGGGGAGCGACGGGGGAAAACGATTAAAGAACGAGGAGCGACGGGGGACAGCGATTAAAGAACGAGGAGCGACGGGGGAAACGATTGAAGAACGAGGAGCAACGAGGGACAGCGATTAAAGAACGAGGAGCGACGGGGGAAAACGATTGAAGAACGAGGAGTGACGGGGAAAATGATTAAAGAACGAGGAGCGACGGGGGAAAACGATTGAAGAACGAGGAGTGACGGGGAAAATGATTAAAGAACGAGGAGCGACGGGGGAAAACGATTGAAGAACGAGGAGTGACGGGGAAAATGATTAAAGAACGAGGAGCGACGGGGGACAGCGATTAAAGAACGAGGAGCGACGGGGGACAGCGATTAAAGAACGAGGAGCGACGGGGGAAACGATTGAAGAATGAGGAGTGACGGGGAAAACAATTAAAGAATGAGGAGTGACGGGGAAAACAATTAAAGAACGAGGAGCGACGGGGGACAGCGATTAAAGAACGAGGAGCGACGGGGGACAGCGATTAAAGAACGAGGAGCGACTGGGGACAGCGATTAAAGAACGAGGAGCGACGGGGGAAAACGATTAAAGAACGAGGAGCGACGGGGGAAACGATTGAAGAATGAGGAGTGACGGGGAAAACAATTAAAGAACGAGGAGTGACGGGGAAAACAATTAAAGAACGAGGAGTGACGGGGGAAAACGATTAAAGAACGAGGAGCGACGGGGAAAACGATTAAAGAACGAGGAACGACGGGGGAAAACGATTATAGAACAAGGAGCAACGAGGAAAACGATTACAGAACGAGGAGCGACGGGGGAAACGAATGAAGAATGAGGAGTGACGGGGAAAACAATTAAAGAACGAGGAGTGACGGGGGACAGCGATTAAAGAACGAGGAGCGACGGGGGAAAACGATTAAAGAACGAGGAGCGACGGGGAAAACGATTAAAGAACGAGGAACGACGGGGGAAAACGATTATAGAACAAGGAGCAACGAGGAAAACGATTACAGAACGAGGAACGACGGGGGAAAACGATTAAAGAACGAGAAGCGACGGGGAAAACAATTAAAGAACAAGGAGCAACGAGGAAAACAATTAAAGAACGAGGAGCGACTGGGAAAACGATTAAAGAACGAGGAGCGACGGGGAAAACGATTGAAGAACGAGGAGCGACGGGGAAAACGATTGAAGAACGATGAGCGACGGGGAAAATGATTAAAGAACGAGGAGCAACGGGGAAAATGATTAAAGAACGAGGAGCGACGGGGAAAACGATTGAAGAACGAGGAGCGATGGGGAAAACGATTAAAGAACGAGGAGCAACGGGGAAAATGATTAAAGAACGAGGAGCGACGGGGAAAACGATTAAGACGCTTTTTTCTGGAATTTATTTATTATCGTCATTAAATTGAAGTTGGACAGACGACTTGAAAATTCTAATTTAAGGACTGGACTTGACTTGGACTTCCACATCATAGACTTTGGACTCGACTTGGGCTTGGTTGTTTTTCAGTTGGACTTGACTCGAGACTTGACTGGAAAGACTTGTGACTTACTTGTGACTTGCAAAGCACTGACTTGGTCACACCTCTACATTTTATCAGCAAAAGTGACAGGATCAGGCCTGGGATTGTGCGTACTGGATATGCTCTCTCTACTGTAGAATATCACATCATGTTGGAGTCATTTGAGGAAGTGTCACTGTCTCAGTTTAAGAGCGCTGTCGATAAAATCAAACCTACCACCTGTCTACGAGACGTTTTTCCACTACGCCTTTTACGTGAAGCTTTTGATGTTTGTGTATTAATAACATGTCTACTAGGGAGGGGGTGGTGTCCTAATTTTGCAAACAGGCAATAGTGCGACCTGTTCTAAAGAAAACAGGCTTAGATCCGGGAGTCCCAGACAATTATCATCCGATTTCGTTACTGAAATATCCGGCCAACGTCTTGGAAAGTATAATTTAGAGTGTGTGTAAAGTTAATAGTGAAGTAGTAAATTTGGGGTACATTTGAAATCTAAACATTCGAATGATCTTACATGTGTCTCATGCCCTTCCCTCAGGTTGTATGTGAGATCCTGCTGGATGTCCTGGACAAAGTGATGAGAGTACTCAGGGTAAAGGTCCAACACCTCATAGAGGCCTTTCAGGTTGATGCACTGCAGGTCACAGTAGGTCAGGGCTTTCACGTCTGCATTGGTCTTTATTACTCTATTATCCAAGGAGAGGTTTGAACCAATCAGGTCACCTTTACCTGCATGGAGAGAGACAGATATAGATAGAAAATAGGTCAGAACAAGAGCCACTTCTCTTTGTTTACACCTTGATGAAAAGTGTTCATTTTCATGGCCAAGCGGGATTTTGCTATTGCAATCCATTTGATCATTTGATGATATAAAATATGCAAATATTGACCTGGATAGAGATTAAAGGGCACCAAACTGTGTTTTTACCAAGCAAGGAAACACAAATGAACCAACAATCATAAACTAACGGCCAGAAAAGCTAACAAAAGCGGAGGAGCTGATAAACTGAGGAGGTGTGTTACCTAACAAATGTGGAATGACCTACCAAGCACTACCAGAACTGCGGCTTCCTTTTCAATTTTCAAGAAACTCCTGAAGACCCTGCTCTTCAGAGAGCATCTTCTAAACTAGCACCCTCCCTGCACCCGTTCCCCCTCTCTACCGTCCACTCCTTGTTCCCTACTCTCCATGGTTGATGTCAAGTTGTTGTTATTGTTGTTAGCCTCAAGGGCAGGGGTGGACTGACTATCTGGAGCACCGGGAGCCGTCCCGGTGGCCTGACGGCCGCTGGGCCGGTCTGAGATTTATTAATGATTTCATTCATTCATCCACTCGTTGCGTTCGTTATTGGTCTGTTTCTGATTGTCATGGGCTGACTGGTTCAAGGCGCTGCGACAGGGCTGTCAATCACAGGCAGCACAAACCAGGGTGGGCGGGGCCTCATCGCTGGTCGGCGGGAGTGGTTGGACAGTGCCGTGCCTCGGACTGTTGATGTAAAAATGGAGAAGCCGAAGAAACGTTTGGGTGGAGCAGAAAAGTTGCGGCAAAAAAGATTGAAGTCTCTAGAGGTGGGAGCTGCTAACTGTTCACAGTTGGCAGACCTATTTGGTCCTGGGCCGGTCTTAGTCACCACCCCAGCAGGTGCTGCTGGTGCGCCAGGAGAAGGGGCGACACTACAGTAAGTAGCATTAGCACGGGGCTGGCTAGGTTACATTTTAAAATTTAACGTATGTGTTCAATAAGAAGTAGAACATGCTTTATATCTATAGCTGTCATCATGTAATATGAGCCAAAAAGGCCGTGAGTGTTGGTATTTGGGTTAATTAAGTTTAAATATATACGTATGCCGAAGGTTGGTTTCATGTGACATCACAACATTCTAAAGAGCCCATCGTTGAACAGTGAGTGACCCCCTTTCCATTGGACTGGACCAGCAGCGCCAGCGTGTTACTGGGCAGCACATTCTCACATACTCTACTGCTTGTCTCTTCCTACCGGCCGCTTATGAGAGGCGCATCGGCCGCAAATGCAGCGCGACAGCACCCATGGTAGATCAAAAAATAACCTTTTAATGCTCTGCACAGATTACTATCAAAACTTATTATTTTACTTAACGCATGGCGATCAGACACATGTTTTCACTGCTGTATGAAGCAGATGTGTGGTAACAGCCCCCTGTTCTTTTACCTGGTTTTTAACAACTCCTCCGTGGACGTGGTGGAGCGATTTAATGTTCAAACTCCGTGGATTATCATCAGAACTCATTCTAGGCAATGCAGGACTCTCCAACTGATTTATTATTTGTTGCATCATGGAGGAGAAGTGTCGAACTGTCCCGCTGCCCGTCACTCTCCCTTCTGTCACAGTTTCTCCTTCTCCTGCCACCCGAGGCTGGAGAAGGAGAAACTTGAGGGGGGAAGCACGACCGTGATGTTTTTAATGCAGGTGTCCTGCTCCCAACACATCTGATAATCACAGGCTAACAAGAAGCAGAAAAAGTAAAATGTTTTATTTAACTCCCCATCCAGTTAGAAAACTGCAGATATTTCCATCCATTCCATCTCCATTCCCAATATTTTCCCTCCGGCTCCGGTGGAAAGCAGGGGTGACTGAGGGCAACTGTAATGATATTTCCCTTAAAGATGTACACGTGTATTCAAAACATGTGTGATGTTGACCAGTAGAAAGGACTTTCAGCAACATAGGAATGAATAATATGGCAGGTTTGTGAATCCAATCACTGTAAAGTAATGTTCAGGGAAAACATTTGGACAGTTTCTTTTGGGAAATTTCTTCCAAAAACAGTTTTTCTCCCACTGAGTTGTACTGCCTGGTCCTAGCCGCTAACTGCAATCTGTGATGGATAGACTAGCAGAGAAGAGTGAGCTGCTTACAAAGCTGCTCCACCGATAAGGTGGGAAATATTTAACAAAGTTATCATCACACATTATAGATGTTGTAATTCCTTATGTGTTGTTTTAATGATCCTTTACAGATTTATTGTGCATGGGTATTAATCCTTAATTTTGTGTGATCGTGTACACTAAATCATCACTTTTTCTCTATTTCAGGCTGATCTGATATATTTGAGGAGCCGTTCTCTCTGTTCATTGTGGACTTGTTCGAAGACCTGCTTTCTATCTGCTTCCATGGTACCAAAGTTTGGCTGTTGAGTCTCTTTTCAAATGGTAAGTTTAAAATGTTTTATGAAATCATACTTAATTGTGGATTATTGGAGACTAATGTTTCCCATGTCCCTCACAGTTTGGCCTCTTGACATGTGTTCCCCCCCATCCATGTTTGAGGACCTGCTTTCTCTCTGCTTCCACTCTACCAGAGGTTGGCTGTTGAACGGTACATTTATAATGTTCTATAAAATTCTACTTAATTTGGGAAGATTAGAGACTTAATGATGCATCCCATGTTCCTTTCAGTTCTCTATTGATGGTTTCTTTATGACTGAATCACCGCTAAATAAAGAAGTTTCAGGTCTAATGCTGCTATTTATTTAGATCATTCATCAGGATATTTAGTTTTTATTGTCCGGGTCTGTTTTTAACTAACACTGGGTGTACACTACAAGATTTTTACAGTCACACACTAAAAACTTGAAAGGTAGCACCAGGGCTCTTCCCATTAGTCTTCCTGCCCCACCCTTAGTCATGACACAACCTCTGTTGTTATTTGACACTATAATGAATACAAACCAATTGCTTGATTGATTGATTTAGCTGTCAATTTTAGTCCTTCAGTTAATTAACATTCTTTATTTGTTAACTATAACAGAATATGACTATCCTTTGTAGTATACAGAGAGGAGACGCTGAAAATTTTGCCGACTTCTAAGTGTCAGCGGCTAATGTAGTGGGCCGGTCTGAAGAGAAAATTCCAGGGCTGAATTTTGATCCAAGTCCACCCCTGCTCAAGGGCAACATGCTGATTATCACTTGTAAGTTGCTTTGGACAAAAGCGTCTGCTAAATACATAAACATAAACATAAACATAAACACAAAGATGACTGGATTTGACCATGAGGAAAGAAGAGAAACAGCATCAAATATAAAAAATATACCTTCATAAACAGTAATGTTGAAGTTTTGCCCCTAAAACAACAATCGTCACTCTCTAACTCCATTGATAGATTTTTATAGTGAGAAACAGGAAAATAATAACAAAATCCAACAGATTACATAAAAAATATCTATTTATGTTTTCATGAATTAAATACATATTTGATATTTCAGCAAGATTCGGCTTCCATGTGTGTCTATTAGGTAACAAACCAACATTGGGAGCCTTCCCAACTGGTTACATGTGTAAAAGACACCTGTCCGTAGATGTACCCAGTCAATCCAGATTCCAAACGTTGCACCAAGGTCAAGAACAAAGAGCTTTCCAAGGTTATCAGGTACAAGTGAACCTACGCAAGGCTAGAATAAGCTACAAGACCAAGCAGCTGTGGGAAGTTGTTGTTGTGATTATTGGTGCCAATTTTCCTCTGAAGCTCCACATAACATCCCACCTGGTGGAGTTTCAATGACAATGAGAACAGTTTTTAACCATCCCAGAACAACTCTGGAGGAACTTGCCAATAATATAAAGGCAGCTGGGACCACAGTCACCATGAAAACAGGACTGAAACCCTGCAGTGCCCCAAGGTCCAACTTCTCAATAAAGCGATATGGGCCCGCCTGAGGTTTTTCAATGAACATCGAAAGGATTCAGAGGAGGACTGAGTGAAAAATGCTGTGGTCAGATGAGACCAAAATACAACTCTTTGGTATCAACTCACCTTGCTGTGTTTAGAGGTGAAGGAAGGCTGCCTATGACTCCAAGAACAATGTTCCAACTGTCAAACATGGAGGTAGAAACATTATGATTTGGAGGCGTTTTTCTGCCAAGGGGACAGCACAACTGCACCACATCAAAGGGAGGAGGGATGGGGCCATGTATCAAGTGTTGGGTGGGAAGCTCAGGGTCTCAAAAAATAGAGACAGGAAGTGGCCAGAATTAGGAATATAATTATGTCAGACACAGAGAAGAAGAAATTAAAATAAGAAGCTACCAATAACTATTTCAGTTTGAGCGAAATGTGTGTGGCAGCTGTTTCCCATTGGTGCTAATGTCCCATAAGAGGTGATAAAAGATTCATTAGGGTCATTGTGAACTGGGAGTGCTGCTAAATCACACTGCAGCTGATGGAGAGAAAGTCGTGACTGGTCTTACCCTCTTCTCCTGTCTCTGTCCATCAGCTTATTTATTGTCAGCCTCGGTCTTCATTTGTCTCTCCTTTTATAAGTGATCACGTTTGTCTTTTGGTCAGAGTTTAATCCTTATTTTTGAAATTATACATTTTCTTCCGTCTTTTCATTCTTTGCCTCCCTCCCATTCTTTTTATCTAAATGTCCATTCTTCTTCTTTTTCTTCTTCTATCCATATTTCAGTCCTTTATTCCTTCCCTTTCCCATTCGTTCATTCCAAATCCATTTTTAATCTGTGTCCATTCTTCGGTTTTCTTCTTTCCTTCCACCCTGTTTTTCCAGATTTGTCTCTCCTTCCTAATGATTTTCCTTTCCTTTCTGACACAGCCCATCTGTAGTTTCATTCCGTTTCCATTTCTTTCTGTTCTCATTATCTCTACAGCCCTTCGTTTTTTTTTCATCAGAACACGAGTCGTTTTCTTCTCCTTCAGCTTCACCCACTTTGTAATTCTGCCCTTCTTCTTACT